CCACCCTGAATGACTGCTCTGTGTTGCTGCTCTGCTCATCCTGACTAATGTTTGGTTGATGGAAAAACCCCTTCACTTTGTTAAAGTAAGGCAGGCGGACGAGCCGAGACGGAGGGACGGAGCGGGCGTTAGCTCCGGTCCAAACCCACGTCTGAAGGCTGTGAGGTCATCACATGGTTCTGTGATGATGTCACACACACACACACACACACACACACACACACACACACACACACGAGACAAATGGACCAAATGTAAATTGAATTATACAACAGTAAGATCAGGGAGGTGTGGCCACACACACGCTAATAAGTGATTAATAAACTGAGTTTTAATCACGTCACGTTAAAAAAAAAAAGCATTACCAGAGGAATAAAAGGTTAAAAAGAAAGTCCACTAACTACTCCATTAAAATGGTGAAAAAATAAATAAATGACAAAAAGATTTGAGATTTGACAAAATTCAACAAATAAGAAAAAACACATGTTAAAATGGTAACAATAATGTGACTAAAACAGTTGAATTTAGATTTTCTTTTTTAAACTAAATGACTCGAGGGTTAATGATGTCCTGACAAGACTATCTGTGTGTGTGTGTGTGTGTGTGTGTGTGTGTGTTGGAGGTTCTAACATCTGTCCCTCCTGAGTTCACAACATTCCCAGTCACAGCTGGAGCTCCTCCCAGTCTCCGGATCCTCCGTCCCTTTTCCCTGGAAACTCTGCTGAATGCCTGTGGCATTTTAACTGACACACACACACACACACCACACACACACACACACACACACACACACCACACAGGTCTAGACAGGAGCTGTGAGTCCTATTCTTTTTTTTAATGTTCAAAACCAGAAAACTCTATTTCTGCTCAGCACAGACTTGTTTTAATCGCAGTACAAACGCAGTACAATCGCAGTACAATCGCAGTACAAACGGAGTACAATCACAGTACAAACGCAGTACAAACGCAGTACACAGACACCTGATTTTACTCCAACATTATTTATTCTGTCAATATCACAGATTGGCGAGTCGTGACATTTCAGTCTTTGTCGTTCAATTCTCTCTTCAGCCAATCACAGCAGCGTCTTAATCTTTTTGTCTCGTAGACAGGCTGTCAACATAAGGTCCGCGGCCCTTGTGTCCATGCAGCCCAGACTCGACCCTCAGAGTGGGCCAGTATGTGGAGAGAATGACTCCCGGTGGATCAGACCTCTGTGGCCAATCAGAAGGTGTTAGCATGTGGCTTCATCTGTTTAAATAAACCAATGACGTGTGTTTATTTTCACTGCAGACTCCGGAGTCGATGAGCAAATAATTCATGTTTTGATCCAGATGTTTATTAACATCTTGAATCCGCAGCCTCCAGACCAGCTCCGTTTGTCGGTGTCCGTGAACAGCTGAGTCTGGAGCCGCTCCAGGTTTCCACCAGGACACAGACCTGTGATGTCACATGACCAGCCTTCACACAAACAGTGGAAACTGGAGGTGGGATCAGAACAAAGTTGTTTGGCCGCAGAACAGCGAGGACTCTGACCACAGGCTGAGACACGGGAGCAGATGTCGGGTTGATTCCCACCTGGTGTTGACTTCTGAAAGTCTGGCTTTTCTTTCTTTTTTCTTTTTTTTTTTTTTTGGGTTTACCCTGAGAGGGGAGGAGGAGCAGGATCAGGAGGAGGAAGAGGAGGAGGAGGAGGAGGAGGGAACACCAGCTCCCATTCACATTAGACTGATGGGAGATTTCTGCTGCTGCACCGCACTCTGGATCACATCAGAGAGAGGAGGACAACACTGACACTGACACTGACACTGACAGACAGACAGACAGTCAGACAGACAGACAAACAGACGGACAGACAGACAGACAGTCAGACAGACTCACAGACAGACAGACAGACAGTCAGTCAGACAGACAGACAGTCAGACTCACAGACAGACAGACTCACAGACAGACAGTCAGACTCACAGACAGACAGACTCACAGACAGTCAGACAGACAGACAAACAGACGGACAGACAGACAGACAGTCAGACTCACAGACAGACAGACTCACAGACAGTCAGACAGACAGACAAACAGACAGACAGTCAGACAGTCAGACAGACAGACAGACACACAGACAGTCAGACTCACAGACAGACAGACTCACAGACAGTCAGACAGTGGTGCTGAGAGGAAGCAGAAGATGGGACCGGCTGCCACCTCACTCGCTCTGCTCTGCCTCTGCTCTCTGGCCGTGTGTGTTCCAACAGGGACAGTGAACGCCTCACCCACACAGGTTAGAACTGTTTGTACACGCAATCATGCGTGTGTGTGTGTGTGTGTGTTTGTGTGTGTGTGTACAGCCTACTGGTGTTTGTAAGATGTGGGGACAGAAATCAGTCCTTCAGCTGTCAATCAAAGAACTGTTTGAAACAAATCTCTACCAAAAATATCAACACTGAAGTTTACAATGTTACAACATGTCCTGAAAATCTAAATGTTATTGTTTAAAAATGTCATGTGAAGAAACAGGAGTGTGTGTGTGTGTGTGTGTCTTTTCATTGAACTGCATCATTTTAAAGATTATGTTAATTTGATTCCATTTTTTTTTAATTAACCGAAATAAAAAGGAAATGAATGGTACCAGACTACGGCCACTAGAGGGCTCCTAATTCAAAACAATTGCAATTAACGTTTGGGTTTGAAAACGGAGTTTATGTGCATTACTGCCACCTACTGTGCGGTGTCTGCAGTGTCAGCAGTGAGGGAGCTGAGGATGTCTAATTATTGTTACCGTCACTGTAAATTCTCAGCTCATGTTTCACAGTGTGTTATAACTATTAGGTGTGTGTGTGTGTGTGTGTGTGTGTGTGTGTGTGTGGGCTTTTCTGACGG